TCTTTAAAATTTACCTTTTGCATATTTCAAGATCTATCTTCCCACTTGCCTCCCTATCAGCAATTGTGATGCTAAAGTAAACAGGGATTATAGGGACCTATCTGATGGGCATACAGCAATCCGTAAGTAAGTTTCCCAACTAACCACAATGTCAGTGTTCTGCCAGTATAAACGAAAATAACCCAAGCCCAAATCTACAGTTTATCAGAAGAAATATCCACAGCATAAGGATTATTAAACTACAACCTTCTACCTGTCTTCAGCTACAAGTACTCTTTGAACTCATTATATCTTATTTAGCTGTGCAAATGGGGTTATGTAGGCTGATATTTACTGAAGCAGATGAATGCAGCATTTGAAAGTTCTACTTTAAGATTTAATTGGCTATTAAGCAAGTTTCTTACGATGAAAACACGAATGTGTGTTTTAAAAACTTAACACATTTTGTTTATTTAAAAGCATGGGGGTGAGGGAGGGGGACGCCATGCCAGGATACACATGTGGAGCTCACAGGACAACTTGTAAGTGTCACTTCTTCCACCCATGTAGGCTCCTGGATCAAACTCAGATCATTAGGCTTGGCGACAGGCACCTTTACACACAGAGGAGCCATCTTGCAAGCCCTGCTTTACTTTATTGCTGTCACAAATCACATCATCATGAGTTGTGTTCTCATTTGTGTAGATCTGCAATTTTTATGTTTTCCTAAATTGTGTGGAAAACAACAGGTAGTTACAAATTTTAGATTGCATAATACTGATTTTTATCTTGTCTGTGTATTTTCAATTAAGTGAGCTAATATCCCTTCGTTCCACCTTGAGTAACTCAAAGGCCTGTCTCTGATTTCCAGAGCTCCAGTTTGATAAACATTCTCAGCCTTTGCTTGTCTGGAAATGCCTTCATTACCTTCTCATTTTTGAAGGAGAGTTTTGTGGGCTAGAGAATTCTCAGTTGAAAGTTTTTGCGTCATATGTACTTTGAATATATCACCTGGCTGCTTCTAGGTTTTTGCAGACAAAAATCTCCATTGATAGACTCTTTGATAAGTTATTGTTACTATATTGGACCAGTCATTGTCTGTGGGTTTTATTTTCATTTATTTGTCTTCCTATCTTTTTTTCTCCTCCTTCTGGACAAGTCATTGTTTGTGGGTTTTGTTTTTATTCATTTATTTTTCTTTTTATTTTTGTCTTTCTCCTCCTCCTGGTTTTTCTTCTTCTGTAGATTTGTTTAGTTCATGTGTATGAGTATTTTGCCTGCATGTATGTCTGTGTATCACATGCATAGACAGGAGCACTTGGAGGTCAGAAAAGGGCGTAAGACCCCCTGGACCCAGAATCATAGATGGCTGTGAGTCACCATATGGATTCTGGGAACTGAACCTGGGCCCTCTGCAAGAGCAAAGAGTGCTCTTAACCTCTGAGTCACCTCTGCTGCCCATGCTTCTCAGGCTTTTTTGTATTTTGTTTTTTGTTTTATTTTGTGTAACAGCTCTGGATGTCCTGGAACTTCCTCTGTGGACCAGGCTGGCCTCAGACTCACAGAGATGCACCTGCCTCTGCCTTCCAAGTGCTGAGATTAAAGGTGTGCACCACCACTGCCTGGTGCTTCTCAGGTTTTTAAGAGTCCATGTGTCTTTGATTTTTAATAGTTTGATTTCCATGATTATCACCAACATGTCTTTCTACATTTATTCTTCTTGGAATTCCTTGAACTTCTAAAATTCATAAAGCCATGTTCTTCCTTAAGCCGTGATATTTTCAGCCATTATCTTTTCTTCTTTTGAAACACAGCTGGCCACAAACTCACAGTGATGCACAAACTTACACAGATCTGCCTGCCTCTACCTTCCAAGTGCTGGAATTAAAGGTATGTGCCATCATGAACATCAGTACTTTATTTCTTTAGAAAGACTGCTTGTTACTTTGTTTATTTCTTCGGCATATTTTCCTTTTCCTTTGTATGTCATGTCTAATGATTTTTTTCACTTATGAAAAAAAATTAGAAAACACTAACTCCTCTACTTTTGTTGACCAGATATATGCAAGGGGGAGAACTTTATTATTATTTTTAACTAGCTGGTCTTCAGGGCCAGCCATCATGAAGGCTGAGTCAATTCTCCAGCCTTTTCTTCATATACATCCTGCCTGGACTTTTCTGTAGTTTATCATATTCTCATACACACTTCCTATTAATTTTTTTTCGAGACAAGGTTTCTCTGTATTGTTTTGGCACCTGTCCTGGAACTCGCTTGGTAGACCAGGCTGGTCTCGAACTCACAGAGATCTGCCTGCCTCTGCCTCCCCAGTGCTGGGATTAAAGACATGAACCACCAACTCCAAGCCCTATTACATTTCTTAATTTCCCTCTATCTTCCTTTTTCCTTCTTTTCTTGATCTCAATACACAGCCTATATTGGCCTTGAATTTACAAACCTCCTGCCAAACTCTTTTAAGTGTTGAGATTATAGATATATATGCCACCAAAGCCTAGGTTTTATTTTTTTTCTTCTTTTTCTTCCTTCCCTCCCTATGTCTCCTTCCCTCTCAACAAAGTCTCACTATGTAGCTCTGGCTGGCTTGGAACTCCCTATGTAGATCAGGCTCTCATCAGCCTTCTGTGTGCTGGGATTAAGGGTATGCACCATCTTTGGCCTTCTCTACCCATTATCTCTTGTTTGAGACATTTATAGGCCAGATTCCCTTGCAGCTTTCTCCTCCAGGCATCACTGATTATTTACAGACTGGAGTCCCTTGCAGTTTTCTTACCTACAGGAACCCTAACTGATTGCTCATCTGGTCATTTTTTTTTTCCCTTGGCGCCTCTCTTCCTCACGTATGTCAAGCACAACCAAAGTTAAATGATGACTCATGCCATGTCTGGTGATGATCTACGTGGAGACAATGTTTTCTTGTTATTCAAAGTGATGGAACACAGTCAAAAGAATGACGCATGGAGAATGACACCTTGGGGGAACTGTGAAAGAGGCTCCAAGAGGAAAAAAGACAGAGGGCCTTTCACCTTAAGTCCATTTTGTTCCGTGGAATGTTCTTGGATGCGATTTTGTGCCTCCTGGGGCAAACATTCACATTCAATTCCTAAGACATGTTTATTCTTGTTGGATGTGGGAACATAGCTTTAGAACCCAGTCTGGTGAATGAATGCTGTCCTCAGTGTACCCTAAATTTGGATATGGTCGGCTGCCTTGCTTTCATGCTTTCCCAGGTATAATCTCTAGTACATTCCTGGAAATTGTGTTTAAACTGGCCTGTCTCGAGGAAGTTTTGGGAAAGGGCTACTCTTTTAATAATTAGTATGTGCTTAGTGATGTTTTGTTGTTGTTTTGTTTTTCAAGGTTTTTAAAATTAATTTATGTCTTACATTCCAATCCCACTTTCCCCTCCCTCCTTTCCTCCTGCTCCCCCACTCCCCTCTCCCACCTGCTCCATGGAGAAGGTAAGGCCTCCCTAGGAAGTCTAAGTCTGTACCATCAATCTCACTGAGGCACTGAAATTTATTTACATGCTTTTCTTATGTTTTTCTGAACTCAAACAAGCCTCCTTAGATCATTGCTTTCTTTTTTTTTTTTTTTTTTTTTTTGGTTTTTCGAGACAGGGTTTCTCTGTGGCTTTGGAGGCTGTCCTGGAACTAGCTCTTGTAGACCAGGCTGGCCTCGAACTCACAGAGATTCACCTGCCTCCCAAGTGCTGGGATTAAAGGCGTGTGCCACCAACGCCCGGCAGATCATTGCTTTCTTTGTTTTATTTATGTATAGAAGTACAGTGAAGCTGGAGTAAAGTTATCTGCAGTGCTGGATAACTGTAGTCTGCCCCAATCTTTAAGGTCCTCAAATGCCAAGTCTTTTTTTTTTCTTTCGAGACAGGGTTTCTGCGTGGCTTTGGAGGCTGTCCTGGAACTCACTCTGTAGGCCAGGCTGGCCTCGAACTCACAGAGATCCGCCTGCCTCTGCCTCCCGAGTGCTGGGATGAAAGGCGTGTGCCACCAAAGCCCAGCAAATCCCAAGTCTTATAGACAGATCTGCATAGGTTGACATAAAGTACCACCAACTTTCCCCATTCTCCCCACACCAAAGCTGGCAGTAGTATCTTAACCTCTTTCCCAAGATTATCTGAGGATGCCTATGTATCTCTGAAAAGACAAAAAAATAAAATTGGTATCTACATGTATAATTATATCATATCTATATGTATCATGTTTACATATCCATATCATAAACCTTCATATCATATATCTACAATCTCTCTATATATATCAGGCTGGCTTTGTGCTCACTTTGTTACCAAAAGTGGCCTTGAAATATAGATCCTTCTGCCACAATCTCCTGAGTTCTGAGAGCTCAGGACTGCAGGTGTCCACCTCACCTCCTGGCGGGTCTCGTGCATGCTAAACAAGCACTGGGCCAATTGAACGACTCAAGCCCAGGCTCTGCAAGGCTGTAAGTGGCTCATTCTTGGTGGCCACAAAGGTGAGTATTCAGTTTCACGAGGCCCATTCAGGCAATGCAAACCAAGAGACAGTTCTGTTTTGAATGCAGACACTGAACACGGCCGGGGCAGGGCTGTGGCACAAGCGCAGTTAGCAGTAACCCGTCCATCCATGTCACTGCATGGTGTGTGCCATGACCGCTTCAGTGGGTGCTATGGTCAGGGAACGGAAAAGAGTAGAAATTCTTCAAATAAAAGGACGAAGGCTGGCTCAGGAGTTAAGAGAGCTTACTGCTCTCGCAGGGGAATATTCTGATACCCAGAAACAGTCCAGTTACAGAAGTACTAGAGATACAACTGTATTAATACCCCTTCTACGGTGTCTTTAAGACACAAGGAGGGATCCTAATTACTTCATGGATGCATCTTTCCTGTGTAGAACACGGAGACCCTACCATGATCTTCAGGCTCAGCTGTGGGCTGCCTCACAGTTGACAGTAGCAATGACTTCCCTCTTCCCTCTGAGCTGTTTTCCCTCTGGGTCCCTCTTCTTACCTTCCTCCTTTCCTCCACCCAGTTCCCAGTGAGCACTCTGGTCGAATATTTCTTCTCAATCTGCCAGCCTGGAGTAGACAATGCCTGAGGAATTGCTGCGGTCACAAACATGGTAAGGATCTGTCCCGAGTCCCTTTGGCTTGGCACATTCAGGGGCCAGAGAGGTATTGGGGGTTTGTTAGAGTGCTCATCTCCTTATCGGCCTTCCCAGAGTGGGCAGTAGTTGACACTTTGCCAAGCTCAGGAGATTTAAAACAAAGCCAAGAGAGCTCACTTCCGTCCCAGAAGAGTGATGTGATCTTGGATTCTCTTTTGTTGACTGTCTCCATGGTAACAGACACAGACAGCAGTCTTCACTAGGAAGCAGTTGATTCTGTAGGAGCAGAGCTGGCCCCACATAAAGAAGCCAAACTGAAAAGGCACCACCATGAAAACAGGAGAGAAAAGGCCAGGTGTCTCTCCTGTTGCAAGAGGGGTACCACCCTTGTCATATTATTTTTTTACAATGGGGGGAGTTGGACTATTTCTTGAAGGTGAGTTGCATTCTAATACTGCTTAGTGCTGACATGTGAGCCGTGCTAAGATCCTAACAGATATCCCCCAGCAGGACCCCTTGGAGGCTGGTAACATAATGGTGTCTCTGTGTGCTTTACAAGCAAGGAGGTTCTGGTGCCTCAAGTCACTCTGCTACCTGGTGGGACACTTGAGACATCTGTCTGTTTCAACTCTGGCTTAAATCACTGACTTCTATCCACTCCCTGTCTGTAACTCTGCCTGAGGGGCTTCCATCCTGCAGTGTGTTTGCAGCTAACACGATACAGGTTCCTTCATTCAGTCTTCATTCATTTATTCCGTAAGTTCTTCACATTGTGTGTCTTAGGTGCTAAGGTGAGGTTGCAACGCATTAACGAACAGACATCAGCTTAGCTCAGTGAGATAGAACCCCATGCTTTGCTTACTCTCTAGGCCAAAGGATCAGGAGCCACCGAGGTATCTATCTAGAGGGCTGGCTCTATATAGTGAAATAGGTCCATATGGTGCAATGTTCTATAGCTCTTAAAAAAGTCTGGTCTGGGGAATGTTATGTAATTCCAAGGCAGAGCACTAGCATAACATGTGAAAACGCCCTTAGTTTAAACCCTGGCAAAGGAAGGGAAGAAAGGGTGAGTAGGAGAGGAAGAGGAAGAGGAAGAGGAAGAACAGAGAAGCAAAGAGAAAGGGGAGAAAGAAAAAAAAGGATTAACCTAAAAACAGATGTACTAGTAAGTAGAGGAAACTGTTTAAAAAATTAAATTTTGTTTCGTTTTATGTGTATGGGTGTTTTGCTTACATGTGTTCTACATTCATGCCTATTGTTCATGGAGGCCAGAAGAGAATGTCAGATCCCCTGGAACTGGAGTTACATAAATTTGTGAGTCACCATGTGGTTACTGGGAGTTGAACCTGGGACCTCTAGAAGATCAGCCAGTGATCTTAACCACTGAGCTGTCAATCCAGCCCTAGAAGAAATATTTGTCTGACTAGCCACAGTGAGACACAGTTGTACCATGTGGGTGCAAATGTTGCATAGTCTTACAAAGGTGTGCACGCACACATGCACACACACATACACACACACACACGCATGCATGCATGCATGAAAATACGCATGCATGTATGTATGTGTGTATGTATGTATCTCCATGCTGGAAAGATGGCTCAGAGGGTTTAGGGCTTACCATGTAAGCCTGATAGCCAAAGTTTGGTCTCTGGAAGCCACTTAAGGTGGAAGGAGAAATTGACTCTACAATGGGCATCAGATCTCCTGGAACTGGAGTTATGGTGGCTGTGTGCTGCTGGGAACTGAATCAGGTCCCTTGTGTGACCAGCAAGCACTCTTAACTGCTGACCTCCTCTCTAGTCTGAGGTGTAACTTTAATACTACAACAAGACTCTAAAACTTAGGAAAATAATGTATTCAGGAATGAATAGTATTTTCCAACCTGGGAAGAACATGTGACAGTGAATTGTAGGCACATCTAGAAAAGTTTGTACAAGAGGTAGGAGGGCAGGTGTTAAAGACGAAAAGGAGAAGGGCATTATGGGTGTTTGTGCTCAGTTGCAGAGATGTGTGCACTAGCTTTGTCCGATGGTCTTCCTAGCAACATCCTTGATGTTGTGGTTTAGCAAGGCCACTCACTAGGTTGCGGCTAGAACCGCTTATTATTAAAAGGATGGTCTCATAGACATGACCTTGACAGCTGTGGTTTGGCAGAGTCTCTTGGGACTGTTCTTTTTAATCTGTCATATGCACGGGGACCCTTCATCCAAGGCACCCAGATTCTGTCTGGGTAGGGTTTAAAACAATGGTTCCTTTTTGCCTTTGGCAGCTTCCTTCCACACAAGCAGCATTTCCTGTTACTGTGTGGTAGTTTTAAACACTGCTTCATAACAGACAGGAGGCAGAAAAGAGCACATACAGGAGGGGACAGTGCATAGTACAGGCCCTGATACAGGCCTCCAGTGACCTACTTCCTTCAACCAGGTGCCACCATCCTCACTTCACCACCTCCCAGTGACAGCCAGGGTGAGCTTTACTAATCTCCTTGACATTTTTTAATTCAATCCAACAAGTTGACAGTTGATAATCAAGATTAATTTCCACAGTAGTACCGTCTACTGAGATGCCCAGGGATAGCCATTTCCCCAGAGCAATGTTTTTTTTTCAATATTTTTTTGTGTATGCGTGCATGTGTATGCTCACACACATGCATTCAGGTGCCCACAGGAGCCAGAAGATTGTGTAGGATCCCCTAGAACTGGAGTTACAGTTGTGAGCCATCTCGTGGGTGCTGGGGACTGAACCCAGGTCCTCTGCAGCAGCAGTCAGTGCTCCTAACACCTGGGCCACCTCTCCAGCCCCACTCCAGGACCTCTTTACAGGCATTATATTGATAGAAGCTACAAATGGCCATGACCTCCTGTGAGAGCATTTGTCAGCTTCTCTGAACGATGTGAAATCATATTAGTTGATTAAAATCTGTCTTGGTGGGAATATTTACATCACAGAGTTGGCAAATGCTCTTGTGAGGGTTAATTTTGGTTGTCAGTTTGATTGAATTAGAATCCACTAACTGCCAGGCGTTGGTGGTGCACGCCTTTAATCCCAGCACTCGGGAGGCAGAGGCAGGGGGATCTCTGTGAGTTCGAGACCAGCCTGGTCTACAGAGCAAGTTCCAGGACAGGCTCCACAACAATACAGAGAAACCCTGTCTCAGAAAAACCATAAAAAAAAGGAGAGAACCAGTTTCTGCAGGCTTCCATTCAGTGGCGCTCCAGGAGTCTCCCTGGCATTCAGCACCACACTGAGGCATCCAGCAACATGGACTGAAGGGCCAATTGGTTCTCAGCCTCTTCAGCATGTAGACAGCCATTGTTGGGAGTATCCAGTCTGCATCACGTAAGCCAACCTAATAAGTGCCCTTTGTAACACACACTCATTCCATTAGTTATGTATGTATTAGCCCTGGCTAATGCAGCTGTACACTGGGGTATATCAACTGGCTTTTTATTTCTAAGACAGCTTCTTATACTTGCCATACTAAAAATCAAAACAAAAATCTTAATAGACTTAATTCACTTTGAAATAAGAACAAGCAAATGACACGAACATGGTTTTATGTATGTATTTGTATTTTTACAAACACGTGCAATGCCTGAGCTTAGTAAGAATCAGTTGAATTCCACTCGTTCTTCTGTTGTGACAGTATTTTGTTCACAGAAAGGAAGCAAGCTCCATACCCTTACATACACAATTGGAAGAGGCAGACACCCTTACATAACCCTTGTAACTAACTGAAATGTTTGCTTTGCTTTGAGACTGAGTCTTACTATGTAGCTCTGGAACTCATGGACCAGCTTGGCCTTGAACTCACAGAGATCCATTTGCTTCCAACTCCCAACTACATCCATCTATTTTATCTGAAGACTTCCTGTTTGCCCTCACTCTGACGAGCATTTTTATTGAACGCAGAATTGATGGTTAATTTTATTGTAACTTCCAAGAAAATGACCACCAGTCAAACTGCTAATTCTTTTTTAATTGTTTTATTGTAGTTTGTGTGTATGATTTTGGACATGTAACCATTGGTTATTTCCTTCCACTGTGGGTCCTGAGGATCAAACTCACGTTGTCGGGCTATTTTGTCAAACATTCAGCCTAACCCTCCCTGTTCATTATTTTAAGGTAGTTGGGTTTTGAGTTGTTTTTTTTTAAATTTTAGTGTGTGTGTATGTGTGTACATGTCAGAGAGAGACAGACAGAGAGACACAGAGAGAGACAGAGACGGGGGAGGGCAGTATGCACAAGAGAGCGTAGGTGCCATTACCCCACAGCAGAGGATGGCAGAGGACAACTGTCCAGGGTTGCTTCTCTTCTCCCACCTTGTTAAGGCAGGGTCTCTCTTGTTTCTGTCCCTGTCCCTTTGTATGTTCCAAGCTAGCTGACGCTCAAGATTCCTAGTGGTTTGGTTGTCTGTGCTGGAGGTTGAACCTAGGGCCTTGCTCGTGCTACTAAGTGCTCTGCTAGTAAGGCAGCTGCTCCGCCCTTCTTGGAAGATTTCTCTAGGAATACAAAGAAACTGAACGCCAGGCCCTGTCTTACCTAATCCAACTATTTTACCTAATCCAACCCTTTAGAGCAATTTTCCAAACAAGAATACCAGTTGTGGCATTAGGAGTAGGAGTCCTGCCTAAAGAACAAAGCAAGCCCTGACTGCTTCTGCAGGGAGGAGCTGGCTCACTGACCCCAGGCATCCTTTACATTGTAAGACAAAGGCAAGGGTGTCAGAAGTAAAACACTAGCTGTGATTTATTTGAGTTACAGGGCTGCGGCAATCAGGTTTGTAGGCTTGGCAGCAGTTCCGTGTACCCGCTGAGCCATCTCACCAGATCCGATGGTTGATCTCGATGAGATCTAGACTAACTAAGGAAACAACTGTCTGGGTGTGTCTGGGAGAGGAGTTCTGGATTAGCACAGCTGAGGGCAGGCGGCACCATTCCATAGATCAGGGTTCTAGCCTGAATGAGAAAGAGAAAGGGGGTAAGGACTGGCTTCCTTGGGCACCTGCACTCACTGTATGTACCCCCCACATATATACATAATTTAAAAAATAATATAACTAGCATAAATCTATCTTTACTAAATTAGATTTCTAAAATAAATTGTTGGCTGAAACAGCACAAGATGGACAACATGAAGAGAATAATGTATTTTATGTAGTCGTGTTTGCCAAAATCACCTTTCAAAATATTATACATTTTCTATAGGTATATATGTAAATATGGAGAAGCAGCTTTTAAGGGATTTGCAACATCACATTAAAGAAAACAACAAAGTGTCTGGGCAGTAGTGGTGGTGATGGTGGTGGTGGCAGGGCATGCCTTTAATCCCAGCCCTTGGGAAACAGAGGCATGAAGAGCTCTGAGTTTGAGGTCAGCCCAGTCTACAGAGTGAGTTCCAGTACAGCCATGGCTACACAGAGAAACCCTACCTTGAAAAAACAAAACAAAACAAAAACAAACAAATAAATAAAGATCAAAGCAGGAGCCAGGCATAGTGATGCACACAGAATCTATTCCCAGCACTCATGTTGGGCGGTTCACTCGTGCCTGTAACTCCAGTTCCAGGGGATCTGATGACAGCTTCTGCACGCCCACCCAGATACTGCAATTGCGGTGCATTTACATGCATGCAGGTAAACATTCATACACCTAAAAAAGGAATAAATCTTATTTTTTAAAGAAAATATCTGCCATATTTCTAATATTTTAAGGTTTTACTTGAAGATGTATTCATGGGACACTAATGTAATTGGCAAGTGTTTGGTTTTGGTACTGTACATCGGGCCTCATGCATACTGAACAGGCCCCTTAGAGCTGAGTCACACCCTCTGCCATAAGGTAAATTTTAGAGTAAGGAAATTGGAACATTCTGATTCCGGGTATAGCAAGTTCTGCCACAAGACCACAGATGTTCTGGCTAGAGCCTGTTCTTACCCTATTGGGGTGGATGGGGGTGGGAGTGGGACTCCTCTTTGACCTTTGAAAGCCATACATGTGAGTAACAGATTATTGCTGCCATAGCCCTGGGCACTGAGGCGCCATTAGCACACCCTGACTTATCTTTGCTAACCTAGGGATAAGATGAGCAAGCCAGCAGTTACTTGGAGCAGAGTTCAAGGGGACAAGGGGATAAGGACCAGGGAGTCTTGTTTGTCACACACAGTGGAGGCAAAGCAGAATGAAGAGCAGCATAGAAAAATTTGACTAGTTTCACTATGTCCCAAGTCCTCTTACCTCAGTAGTCTGTGGACCAAAGAAAGCAATGGACTTGGGACGTGGCTCAGCAGGTCAAGCCTAGCATGAATGAGGCCCTTGGTTTGGTTCCAAGCACCGTATAACTTGGATGGGCACACTTGTAATCTCTGCTTAGGCTAGGAGGATCAAAAGTTCAAGGCCATCCTTGGCTATAGAACAAGTTCAAGGCCAGGTTAGAACACATGAGACCCTGTCTGATGGGGGTGGGGATTGGAAGGTGGGAGGTGGGAGAGGGGTAGATGGGGCCGGGTAGCAACTTGGGATGTAGCTCTCTGTCCTTTATCAGATGGTATTGGCCAAGAGCTAACAGTACTTTCTAGAAAAGTACTGGGAATGTAACGAGAAAACACACTCAGCCCAAAGTATCTGGATTTAAAAGTATGTGGGTTTCCACATCTCTTAAGGACTCTCAACTAGCCATCTTAGTAGCAAATCCAAGGGGTCTCCTACACTGGCCAAGGGCATCCATTCTCAGAGAAAGCGATAGTCAAGAAAGCAGAGTAAAATACTTGATGCTAACAGCCTAACTCAAGGAACATAAAATATCACATCTGTGTATGAGGAATGACTCAGGATGACAGGCTTGGTGGCTCCTTTATTTTAATGAATAATAAGAAAGAAAAGAGTTTCATTTGTTGACTAATAGGCCATGGGGTACAATCAAGTGTTTTCTGATCAGGCCATGATTTGCAGTGGGGACACCACATAGCCTTGGACATGAAATCAGTCATCTGGCTTTCAGTTGGACTGGAAGAAATTGAGAGATTAGTGTTAATTTCTCAGAACCCCAGTTCCTTCATTTTAAGGGTGATTTTGAGGACATTGGATATAATGGCTAGTAATCTTACCAACTGGGAGACTGAGGTAGAAGGATCACTATGAGTTCAAGGTCAGCTTGGGTTACATAGTGAATTTTAGGCCAGTCTATGCTACTGAGTATGAATCTGTCTCCCCAAAATTCACTTTGAAGCCACACATGAAACAAGGCCTCCACGAATTCTGGGACAGCCTGGGCTACATGGTGAGACACTGTCTCAAATTAAAATGGAAAGAAATGAAGGAAGGAAGGAAAGAGAGAGAGAGAGAGAGAGAGAGAGAGAGAGAGAGAGAGAGAGAGAAGAATACATACTCAATCTGTAGAACTGGCATAAGAACAAAGAAGTTCAATACTCTGCACACAAGGGGTTGGCCCTCATGAATGTGTCACAATGATGACAGAAATGAATGGGCTAACAGAAGATGTATAGGTTTGCTACTAGGGTCCCCAGCCAACTACTAAGGTAAAAGTCTTTTGTCTCTTTTTTGATCTACAGAAGGAAGACATTGTGGAAATGCACCCTCAGCCTTGAGATGTCCCAAGACATTCCTACTGGGAAGTCTTCCAGTAGCTTATCAATAGAATAGATAGGCACCCACTTACCCAGAAGGCCAATCCTTACTCCATGTGCCTCCAGTGGCTGGAGTAACACAACACAAAACCCACTCTAGTTTGAAGACCTACTCAACCTCAACTCATAGGTCTGTCTCAGAGAGGACCATGATCCCAGGGTCCCATTGCTTCCTATAATATATGTTTTCAGGGTCTAGTTCCTATTTTTCCCCAAAGTCACCTGCTAGTCAGTTATGAACAGCTCAAGAAGCCATCCATAAGAATTCCTTTCTGGTCATATTTCAGCACAATCAACGGAAAGCAAGTTGAAGCATGCCTGGATTCCACTGGACTTCAAGGCTGGCCTTTAAAAGCTGCTGGTCAACAAGGGCAAATCCTCCTAAAAACAGGAGAACCATGTGGTCATCTCCTTCAAATGAATCTTTACTTCCAAGAGGCAGTTGATCATCTTGTCTCTGGCATATCTTGCCACTTCCATGAAACTTGATTCATTTTGGGCCTCTATTTCACTTCTGTAGTTGAATGAATACTAATGTCCACCCAATATCTATCTAGCTTTCTACTAGGGATGTGTTCATTGCCCCCCCACCCCTACCCCTAACTCAGTTCCATATTTGTTATGGAATATTATTTTAAGATGTATTGCTTTCATTTATGCTGTGGAACATTTGTTTAATGATGCAAAGATGTGTTGTATTCTTTTATATTGCATTTGTTTAAGTCTGTGAAGCTGTGTTACTTTGCCTGTTTAAAACATCTGATTGGTCTAATGAAGAGATGAACGAATAGCTGGGAAGAGAGAGAAATTGGCAGGGCTAGCAGACAGAGAGAATAAATAGGAGGAGAAATCTGGGATCGAAAATTGAGGAACTGGCAAAGAACAGTCAGCTACCCTGCCACACAGCCAGACACTGAATAAGAAGGAAGGAAAAGATATACAGAAATAGAGAAAGGTAAAAGCCCAGAAACAAAAGGTAGATTGGATAATTTAAGAAAAGCTAGCAAGAAACAAACCAAACTAATGTCTAGGATTTATATGAAAGAATAAGTCTCTGTGTGTGATTTATTTGGAAGCTGGGTGGTGGGCTCGCCAAAAAGAACCAAAGAGTGAAAAACAACTAACTACACATATTCTACTCAAAGGATAGCATAGACGTTGGAATGTACAGTCAGAAATTTCTATTCCCTTGTTTGTAACTACCACACACAGCTCAGAAAACCAGTAGAAATGGAAAATTACTATGGAGTTTTTGTTGAAAAATGGATACACACATAAAAATGAGCATAACTCTTAGAGAACTTAGCAGGGAATTGTTAAGGACCACCATATAGACAGATGAAGACATCAGCATGGAGTAGAGGGGGGCAGAGATAAGAAGAGAACATAAATTGGTGCTCTTATTTGAGTCCCTACATCAGACCACACCTGATTTACACCTGATATTCACAGCTACAAATGCCAGTCCATTTTATATATACTTGGGAATTATGCATTGATTCTTTGAGAACAAATAGACAGCACTAACACACCTGTTCCCTTGGATTTCTCTAGAATTTCCACTGTGAATGTGGTCTGAGTTTGGTTGAATTCAGCTTCCCTCCAACTCTGGTCTTTTAATATTTGTGATGTTTCTTTAGGGCTGTTTGTTGGGAATTCAACTCTGACACCCAGAACTTCTAAGCTCCCCTATGCACAAAACTCTGGTTGTCTCCACTCATCTTCATCTAGGAGCCATGTACCATGGGGAATCTGTCCTGTTTCTTAGCTTTCAGCTCAAGCAAGTTGGGCACCCAGAGATTGTCACCACCACCAACCATCTACCACTCAACAGACTTGGTCATCAGAGTTCTACATTCTGAGCCACACAGGCAAGCCCAAGGAGACTATATGCAACACACCTGTTTTTTTTCAAGGTCAAACCAGATAAACGTATCATAAAGTTTCAATCAATCTAAACAGTCTGACTTCTAGCTAAGGGGATTAAGGACAAGCTTCATGCACAGATTCAGCCTTTCAAATGGATGCTGAAGACGGTCAGCTCGGTTGTTCCTCAAGACTGAACAAGAACATAGAACTTCACTCCATTCTCCTTAGCCCGCCTCATCTCTATTCATCATAAAAAGCATACATTCATTGCATTCTTCTAGAACTCAGATTAGGTTGGTGAGGCTATCACAAGAAGGGATGAGGATCACAAATTTCTAATAAATTGGGCAACCAGATCCATAATTCTTGTGGAGCAAGGGAAGCTCAAGAAGCCCAAGTCAAGGGTGTTAAGCACTCCATGGAAACCATCCTCCATGTGATGCCACGTCACAGGCACCCCCAGATCTTCCAATCTCTTCTTGTATAAGAGTGAATGGTCCCGGAGAAGGTCATACTCACAGCTCACAATGCAGGTTTCTGGGAGCTGAGACACTATATCATCTTCCGCAATGAGGGGTGAGCATATTGAGTTCAGTGTCAAATTTACCTCCCGGTAAGCATCTTCATTCACAGGCCCTGGGGGTATGCATTGGTAGCCTCGCTTCTTAAACCTCTCTGGGATGTTTTCTGAGCCCAACCACTTTCTGTATTTCTCCCAGACTTCTGGAGGCAAATGGGTACCATTCTTGATAACATTTTTCCAGGAAGTACTCACATCTAGGTGACAACAGCAACAGTAAAAGGCCAGATTCCAAGAGAGCAATGGGATGTTGGCATTTTGTTGATAAGAAGGGCCCCAAAAATCTATGCTTTGTAGTGAGGAGTAGATCAGAATCTGAGCCCGGATTCGGGGAAAATCTGCTTTGTTCATAAACACTTGACAAATCACAGTGGCTACATTCCCTCCTATGCTGTCACCACAGACCACGACCCGAGCTGGATCCACTCCATACACATGCAACAATTTCAGAAACTGGGTAGTGGCTGCCACACAGTCATTTTTCATCGCTGGGTACTTGTACTTGGGCGACTTTCTGTATCTAAAGAGAAATCAAGTACCATAGATTATGTTCAATGCTCAGCCAAACCTAAAGGACTCTTCTCTAATATCTCAAGTCCCTTTTTGAAGCCAAAAGAGGAGATAGGCAAGGACCCAACACACTAGATATAAAGCCCTCCCAAATGTTCCAGTGGTCATGCAGGGCACTGCCGGCTTTAGGCAAAGAGGATGCTATCTGTCTGCCATGGGCAAGGCTGTTAGACCTAATGAATTCTTCTAATCAAAACCAAAGTGTCATCCCCATTCTCACCAGCCTCCCAAAGAGAGGGTTGAATGATGACTTTATTTCATGCACCAAGGAAGGAGGTCAACTCCACTGTCCCTCTCTCCTCTGTTCCTTGCTTCTCCTTCCTGGGTCCTCACAGCCCAGTTCCCCCCCCCATTCTCCTCTCCAATTCCATCTGCTTCAGGTTTAATCTTCAGACCTTGTCACTACAAACCAGGGCTGTCTGCTTTTGTGCTCCCATAATCCCCTTTTTACCCAACTGCCAGGACAACAGAGTCACAGTCCTTGGACAACCGTAAGCATACGTTGTGGTGGGTTCCTGGAAAACAAAATCAAATGTCACATGTACTAGGACATTTTCCTTCCTTCAGCCTTTATGGCATTTTACTCTCGTAAACAGAGTGCCCGAGTTAGCTGAGCAGGTCATAAAATAACCTATGACTATTGAGTAAATATCCGTCCAACTTCTCACTGTTTTGCTTCTATGAGCTGCAAGGCCAGCATTCTCAAAGATGCCCATGACCCAAAGCACTTCACCACTTATCAAAAACATCCAAAAGTGAATGGATTGCAGTGGCTCAGTCTGTGAGAGAGGCATTCTCATATCAATGTAGGAAGAGGTCAGACCATTACATAATACACCACCAAAGTCATCTGTGCCTACTAATTGCCCTGGGTTTCTTGGTTGGAACAGTAGACTGTCTACCAGGAAGAATGACCATCCTTTTTAAAGATTTTCTTTACTTTTATGTATGTGTATGTGTTATACACGCATGTGAAAGTATCCATGAAGACCAGAAGGAGGAGCTAGATCCCTTGGAGCTAGAGTTACAGGCAGTTGTATGATGCCCTAGATAGGTGCTAGGAACCACACTTGGGTCCTCTGGAAGAGCTGAAAGTGCTCTTAACTACTAAGCCATCTCCCATCTCCCACAAAATGATCATGTTTTCAAGCCCATTTAGCTGGGTGACAGGAGGCTTGAGGAAGCCAGAAGAAAGGCAGGCTTTCTTTCTTTCTTTCTTTCTTTCTTTCTTTCTTTCTTTCTTTCTTTCTTTCTTTCTCTTTCTTTCTTTCTTTCTTTCTTTCTCTTTCTTTCTTCCTTCCTTCCTTCCTTTCTTTCTTTCCTTTTTTTCAAAACAGGTTTCCTCTGTAGGTTTGGATACTGTCCTAGAACTCTCTTTGAAGAACAGGCTGGCCTTGAACTCACAGAGATCCACCTGCCTCTGCCTCCCAAGTGCTGGCAATGAAGGCATGTGCCACCACTGCCAAACAAGAAAGGCTTTCTTACTCAAGCTCCCCAGGATGGTTCCACCACCATGGAAGAAGATGATGCCAGTCCTAAGGGTGGAGGAAGATTCCTTGGGCTGATACAGTTTCACAGGGACTGTCCCAAAGTGAAGATCTTTGACCACAACATCAGGATCTCTCTTGAGTGGCTTCAGATCATGCAGAAAACTGGCAAACTGGGATGCATAACACAGTCCCAGCTTCTCAAAAATCATACCCTGTCAGAGAGAGAAGAGAGAAGGGTTACAAATCAGTCACACTGCATGCAGCCTGAAGTGTCTGTCACATACATCTACTCTACCCTGGTGCCAAGAAGTATCTTGGGAAATATTGATCAGACTGGACAAGAGACCTGAATTTCCTCCTCTCTCAGCATCCTCATGAGCCACCTGCAGTTAAAGCCACACCTACCTAGACCTATGGGGCTCCACCACCAGACCCATTCCTCTCAACCATACTCTTCCTAGACATTTTGCATGCTAGACTTGACAACCTAGGCTTCTGGCCAACCCTTGAGGTTCCCTTTTGAAGACTCCTGTTCTGCCTGGCATCTGGACATGGTCTTCTCTCCAGGGAAGATAACCTGGGTCTCCCAAATATTTATTGCTATGGATGTGATATTTCTGAAGTGAGAGAGAGAGAGGTATTTTCTTTTGTTCTTTTTTAAAAGATTTATTTATTTATTATGTATACAGTGTTCTCTCTGCATGTGTCCTTGCAGACAAGAAGAGGATACCCCATCTCATTACAGATGGTTGTGAGTCATCATGTGGTTGCTGAGAATTGAACTAGAGATATCTGGAAGAGCAACCAGTGCTCTTAACCCCTGAGCCATTTCTCCATCCCCCAAGGGGTATTTTCTTATATTTCCATGGCATCTAATGAAGTATTTTTGGAAAACATGATATGAAAGGTTTTCCTCTTTAGAAAAGTTAAGAATGAGGGGGAAGCTGGGTGGTGGTAGCACACACCTGTAAACCCAGTGCTTGGGAGGCAGGGATAGTGAGATCTCTGTGAGTTCAAGACCAACCTGGTCTACAGAGTGAGTTCTAGGATAGCCAGGGCTGTCTTTTTTGTCTCAAAAAGAAAGGAAGGAAGGAAGGAAGGAAGAAAGAAAGAAAGGAAGGAAGGAAGGAAGGAAGGAAGAAAGAAAGAAAGGAAGAAAGGAAGAAGGTGGGGAAAGA